ACACACACACACACACACACACACACATACACGAACGCCTCTGAAAACATAACCTTCTTGGCGAAGGTAAATATACTAGACTGGTAACTGGGCTTATGTAACGTTAGATGTGTTGGGCATTAAACACGTATACTATCCAAGTTAGAACGTGACAGAGCCACCTCCCTTCCTGGCTTCCGAGTCTGACAGTCTGCAACAGACTAGACTTACACATGAACGAGAAAAACCTGATGTTCGACTACAGAGCTCTGGATCACCCTCAACAGTTCGCCCCCCCTCCCCCACCTCAGGCCATAACGGTACACGGTACAACCATCGGTACCGCGAACAAAACTAAAACAAAGCACCACGAGCTTATGAAGCTATTGAATGTTTCTAACAAAAACTACATACCAAAAAGACGTAAGTGCATGTTGGTTATGGGGTTAAAACAGCCGCAAGCCAGTAGCACGACTCTTCCGGGTGCAGCCATCTTGGAGATTCTGGACTATCGCATAATAGGGTTTGGGTGACAGATGTCACAATCATAAAAATTATCAACTACAAGGTAAAAACTTAAGATTACAGTACTACTATTTTGGTACTTAATAGTAATAGTGAAGAATTTTATGTGAGCCCGATGTCAATAAAAAGCGTAGATATTGATTGAATATGAAGTTAATGGAAAAACTTTCCCCTTCGTAGTAGCCAGATGGCATATCCCAGTGCTGGGACGAAACCAAAACCACGATTCACAACGTCAGAACAGGCCACGTTACAGATCTAGAGGCCAGGTTTGTGGATGAACAGTGAGGTTCTTGGGACAATATAAGTAATCTTTGTAGTTACATGTCTTTTGTGATGCCTACTAAATTATAGATAATATCGTAAACTCTGTGTTAGTGCCCATTACAGTTTGCCAAAAATTATGTAACTTTGACGAGTTTGACGAGTTTGACGTATAAAAGCAAGGGGCTTTAAACAAGCTTGTTTGAAGCTCCTCGATAAAACTGATTTGAACTTCCTTGATCAAGTTGATTTCCATTATGATAACTGACTAAAAGACTAAAGAGTGGACTGATACATAACATCCTGAGCCCATAAATGCATGAATGTGACCAAGGACGTGACTCAGTATTCATTTTTTTTTTTCACACAGGTAATTAACTCATCAAATTAAGATCCAGGTTGGGATCATCACAGTCCTGCTACAGACATGTTTGTGCCAAGATCTGTGTCCGTCAAGAAGACCACCAGACCTGTTCAACCAAAACCACTGCCTATCAAAAAGGTACAACAACAGACAGATCCAACAACACAATCTGAGAATACAGCAAACCCTTCATCCAGTGTTGCATCCACAACAACATGTACCTCAGAAAACGTTGGCAGACAAACAGAGTTAGGAAGTGAGCAACCTCAGGGTAACACTGCTGAAATAGACCTTTCAACATCTCTGAAAGGTGACTGTTCAGAAGATGAGCAAGGTGTGTCAAAGAAGTATGACAGTGATGATGAAGATGAACCCATCGTGTCCTTCAGTAAGAACCAGCGCTGGCCAGAGGAAGGGGAGCCGGTTTGCGTGGTTTGCGGCAGATACGGGGAGTACATCTGTGACCAGACTGACCGGGATGTATGTAGTTTAGAGTGCAAGGCCAAACACCTGGCCCTCGTGCACCACAAAAAACAGTATCTTCAACCTGAGGCATCATCGAGTAGGGAAGAAAGAGAAGAAACTGACAATAGTCTTTCTGAGTCACAGAATCTATACAAAGAGCACTCCACATTATCACAACTGAGTAGTGAACAGGTCGAAGAAATCAGGAAGCAGCTCGGAATTGCTGTGAGAGGGAAAGATGTTCCTAAACCCGTCTTGGAGTTCTTTCACTGCAGGTTGAACGATACGGTCAGCGCGAACATGTCGGCGGCCAAGTACGAGATGCCGACGCCTGTTCAGATGCAGGTGCTGCCTGCAGGGATGATGGGAAGGGACGTGATGGCAGCGGCACCGACTGGATCAGGGAAAAGTGTGT